ATATATGTATAGTAAATTTTTTTTTTTTTTTTTTTTTTTTGACCATTAAGGGGATTGCAACCCTCAGCACAGTGTGGTCTGCACTGCACTCAGCCAGTGAGCGCACTGGCCATCCCTATTTAGGATCCGAACCCGCAGCCTCGGCGCTACCAGCGCCGCGCTCTCCCAAGTGAGCCATGGGGCCAGCCCCACAGTACTAATCTTGGAGTTTCATATTGTTGCCCAAGAGGTAGCAAGGGAAATTACTATTAATTGATACTTCCACCCAAATTTTGTCAGATGCCCAGGCCTGAATGGAAATAAAATAGTAATGATACATGATGGTAGGAAATTACAATGGAACAAATATTGCATGAAGATTTGACTATTCTGTTGATTAAATTGCAGGCACTTAATGACTAAGTAAGCTGTGCTCTGTAGTTCTAATTAATAGCTTTGTTTGGTGAAAACAGATGCTACAAAACTTCGAGTTTCTCCAAAGAATCCTCGCGTCCCCAAATCGCACATGCTTGAATTACATTGTGAGAACAAATGCGACTCACATCTGAAACACAGTTTGAAGTTGTCCTGGAGTAAAGATGGAGAAGCCTTTGAAATGAATGCAACAGAAGATGGCAGGTAGGTAAACTCGTCTTATGTCACAATATTTGTTTGGGATTAACACCTTGCATTTGGAAAAAAAAAACTTTTAAAAATATTTATACTGAATGAAAATGTAAACATGGACAAACATATTTGAGTGTTAAGTCACGTCACTTTCCTATCACATGTTTATCTTCTCATTTTTGCTACTGTTTATACAGTGTGTACCATCTTGTTAGTGCATGAAACAGAAGCCATTCTAGATAACGGAAGCAGATTTACTGCCTGGGCTCAGGTGCTTACGAAACCACTGGAAAATCTGGAGGAGCTCGGCCTCCAGTGAGCCACATCCTAATCTGTTGGGGTCTTGATCACGCAGCCTTGTAGCTGCGCTGCAGGGATCTGGACACTGCTGCCGTCCTTGCAGTACCTCACTCCATGGGTGCTGTTGTGAGTCTAGCCACTGCCTCTTCTTCTGTCTGCCAGAGCCACTCTTGGTCCCATACCCGGAGAAGACAGTGCCAATTTCCCTTCTGCCTCCCAGCCTCACCTGAGTCTTTCTCACTGCAGAACCTAAACCAGATATGGAATTCTTCCTGCTAGGAAGTATTGGCAAGTGTATGTTTGAGTCTTCCAACCTCTGTGCAGAGTATACAGGAAAAATATAGAAGAGACTTGGCTTCAGATCCTGGTTCAGCCCTTTACCAGTTAGGAAGTGTGGATAGATGCTGAATAGCACTTGACAATATTAAGTACATCAGGGGAGGAGAAAAGATGATTCTATCACTGAATGCTCGCTCTGCCTTTTGAAAGCATGCTGGCTCAGCTTTGTTTTCTTTTGCATTGTTACTGAGCAAGGGTTAAAAATTGACCATCTTGGAGCCAAGTTCACCTGCAGTTAGGTTTTGTTACTTATCGCTCTGAAAAAGTGAATCTGAAGGTCTGTAGATAGGACATGCACTCCTTTGATGAGATGGCAGCAGTGTCATGATTACGAGCATGAACTGTGGAACTCAGGGGCCTGAGTTCAAATCCAAGCTTTGTCACCTACTTGGTCTACGCCCTTAGACAAGCTGCTAAATGTCTCTGTGCCTCAGGTTTACATTCTGTCACATAGTTTGATTTAAACAAATGTTTTTAATGGTACCTTCATGATAGTGTTATTGTGAGTTAACATACCAGTCCACTTTCATGGTTATCATTTGTACTACTCCTGTCCCCAGCCTACTTATTTCATTTCTGTTACTTGTGTGGCCTCTGTCAGTATTTGTGTGTGTGCCACCTCTATACAAAGGCATTGATCTCAGCTGTGGTACTTAACTAATTCCCTCCCTTCCTACATACGCACATATTTACATATATACACATATATAAATATGAAGGTTTGTGGAAAGGCAGCATGTGTATTGCAACCAGTTGTCATTGAGACAAGAGAGATCAATTATACATGCCTAAAAGGCTGTACTTTTCAACAGAGATCTTCTGCCTCAGGTTCGTTCTCAGTTGATCTGTCCTCTGCTCAGATCTGCCTAAATTCTCCCTCTTTTTTCATTACTGTGTGGTTATCTGAGGTCTTCTGTGTGACCTCTGGACTACAGCCAAGAAGGGAATCAGAGACCTATGTCTTGTTGGTAATGTGACATGCATATGTAGGCTGTGACCCGAGGAATTCCATGCAGCCTCTTTGTGTGGCCCAGTTTTACAGTTTCAGCAGAATGCTGGTGTTCACACTCAAATGAAACTCTGGCTGTGTGAGTGGACTGAGCAAGTGATGTAGATGTTCTTCCAACTCTCCCTAACAAGCACTGGGGTTGAGGGACAGTAACCTCAGCTCAGAAGAGACCTTGAAAGTGGAGAAGGCTGGGAATGACTATAGCTGTCTGACCTTGACTGCTGCCAAGGGCAGGCATGGAGCTGAGATCACAGGTGTCTGCTGAATTTCTAGGCAACCATCAGTAAGCTCAAGCTTCTCACCGTCTGCTGGGACACTTTCTCCTTATCACTAGGCTGAGGACCAGGAGCTTTTACCTAGAAAGAGGTTACATTTCTAATCAAATGGTGCACAGAGAAAATCCCTCTTTCTCTGTCCTTTTGTCCCCTTTCAGGGGGGTGTGGTAAGTGCTGGGAACTGCTACTCTGGACCGTTCTATCACCGGGTGGCTCCCGTGGTGTTAGTATTTCCCATACATGCTTTCCCTCCCTCAATAATCCCATGAGGACAGCAGCCCTATTAGGTAGGCTGAAATGACCCCAAGGAATTTTCTGTGGATTTCTAATCTGCAGGTGGCTCTAGACCACACACTAATGTTATGAAAAATGGGTATGAAACCATTTAAAAATTTTCTACTGTACTTCTCAAAGGTAGCGGAGACTGCTCATGACCGTAGGCAGACCAAAGGATCCAGCCCTGCAGGAGAGACTGCAGTGGCAGGGGAGGGAGGGACATGTGATAAACTGATGGCTGGATGGACGGGGGAGGAAAGGGTGTTGAGAGCATAAGTGGGAGGTTCTAGCCCTGGCAGCAGAGAAGGGCTGCTGTTTTCCCTTCAGAAATGGTGGCAAATCAATTTGGGGGGGTGGCGACAGAGAGATGAGGATGCCCGGATTCTAAGGCTCTCATCATGAAGGTCTCTTCCTAACAGACTAGAAACTAATTTGTTCAAGCAGAGAGGCAGGAAGGATGGGAGTTGCAGACGTGGAAATATCTACCATGAGGAATATGATTAACGATAAGCCAGAAATGAGTAAAATCAATTTGATTAATATTATTAGTTACAGCCATTGAGCACATACTACACCCAGCTGTAAATACTAATTACTTTATGTGCTTTACCTCATTTACTTCTCCTGAAGAGAAAGAAAATATTTTTATACCCATTATTTAGGCAAGGTGAATTAGGCTCAACGTTTTGTTTAAGGTTATTTAAAGAATGATTGATGAAACTGAGTCTCAAATGCAGGTCTTCAAAGACAGCATCATTTTTGTTGCGTGGCCTTCACCAGAGCATGGCTTCACCAAAACATACCCAGACAGAGAGGGTTAGGACGACAGCAGAGGTTAACATGGGCTGGGGGCTAGCATGCTGGATATCGCAGATGAAGGAGGCAAGAGGTCTTAGGTAATAGCAGGTTTTCCAGGTGAGGTGATCAAGCAGGTAAAGTCAAACAGAGGAAGAGATTGGGAGACATGAAGTTGGAGATGAAGCTTAAGAGCAGGTTTTATAAGAGCAGAAACAATTGGACTTGAGGCAGAATCCAGTTGACCCATGATGGGAATATAACATGGCAGAGAAATAAACAGTTTTTGTCTTAAGCACTGAGAACTTGGAGCTGCTTGTTACCGCAGCACAACATAATGTGTCTTTGCTAACGCAAAACAGTCGTCAGATTCTGATGTGTGCCAGAACTACCTCAGCATTGTGTCCAAATGCAACGGCCCTTGCCCCACCTCCAAATGTTCTGATTCGGAACCTGGACTGAGGATGGGGAATGAAATTTGTAAGAAGCTCCTTAGGTACACCCTACCCACCAAATGTCGAAGGCTAGTGGATCTCTCTACCTTGATTAATCTGAGGCACCTAAGGTACGTTTCTGGGATAGAAAAAAGCATAATGCAACAATGAGTTACCAAAAAGTTGCCCTTTCTTTTTGTCCTGAAGTAGAGTAGCTTTGTGCAGGGCACAGAAGCCCTGTTTGAAGAGGTTATTAAATTATAGTTCCTCATTTAAGAAAGTAAACTTTTCCAAAATTGTCAGTGTATGCAACATTTTCATACTGTATCAAAAGGACACATAACTAATATGAACTGAGAAATTAATTCATGTCAAAGTTTTATTATATCTAGAATTATAGTAGGATTGTTGACGAGAAATACCAGGTAATATCAATTGCCAAATTGTTCAGTTATTGCTACAGGAATAAGGGGCTGTCTCTGTCCCGAATACAAAGGCAGAACCAAGTTTGATTTTACTACAAATTGAAGTAATTTTCTATAATTAAAACATCTCAGCAGTTTATATGAGTTTTACATTAAAAATCTTAATTATGTAAGAGTCTCCCTTCACACAAGGATGACACTAAATGATTTCAAATAAATGGTAATTGCTGCGAATATAATTTAAATTTAATGGAGATTCATTTAAAAGAATCCTTGAATAGTTATGTTGACAATACATAGTATAGGGTAAAAGGTATAATTTATAAAGAAGCAATTTTCAAGTTGTAAACCTGCTTACTATTGGCAAAAATAGAACAAATGATGAAAGTCTAGGTGAAATGACATGCAATAAGTGGTGCTAGACTGCCATCTACTGGTCAAATAAATTACATAATTTGTTATTAGATCTTAATGTGCCTTCTACCTAGAAAGTGGCGGTTTCTAGGTCAAATAGTAGAAGTATGATGGCTACTAGGAAAAATTTTATGGAGAAGGTGGAGAGGTATAGACAAGGAGATCTACTGGTCAAATAAATTACATAATTTGTTATTAGATCTTAATGTGCCTTCTACCTAGAAGGTGGCGGTTTCTAGGTCAAATAGTAGAAATGTGATGGCTACTAGGAAAAATTTTATGGAGAAGGTGGAGAGGTATAGACAAGGAAAACTAGTCAAAAAGAGAGATTATCAGACTCCACCTCACATACTCTGGTTCTGCAGAACCGGGTGGGATGCAGGAATCTCCCTTTGTAAGAAGCACCCAGTTGATCCTAAGTAGGTGGTTCCCTAAATATGCCTTAAGAATTATTCAAGCGTATCTTAGCTGTTGTAAGGTCTGATGTGCTCTTTAGACACACCAGGCAACACACAGTTCTGTCACTGACCCATGCATCACAGATGGTTGGATTTTATATATATATATTTTTTAATATCATCTTGTTTATGGCTATGTAGACATTGTGTATGCTTGAATACTGCTTTATATTCAGGTCTCAACAGTGGCATCCTCAAATAAAATTTGCATTTATGTGAAGTTCTTTTTTTACTCTTCTATGAATTTTTTTTCCATGGGGAAAACACATTTTTGGAAGCATTGTGTTTTCGTTGTTTTTGTAGTTTTCATCCTCATCATATACTCATTTTTTTTCTGGTAGGATAATTATTGATGGAACTAATCTGACCATATCAAATGTCACTTTAGAGGACCGTGGGGTTTACTCCTGTACAGCTCTAACTGCTCTAGATAGCGCTGCTGATGTAACTCAAGTAACTGTCCTTGGTAAGTGCACTAACTAATGAGAAATCTCTGGTTATTTCTTCTTCATTACTGATTAAATTCCATTGCTCCTAGGCATTAAAGCCAATGATTATTTCAGTCCCTGCGTATATATTGTTGGTTTGAATTTTTCATTTAAAAGTAATCCTGCTTTCAATTGCTTTCTCCTCTTCTCATATAAAAGAAATTAATTAATGCTTAATTTCTATTCCCTACATGGGTAACGTTGCCAATAGCAGCAGGAGGTAAGCGATGCTATCAGGAGAAAGAAAAATGAAGCATGCCTGAGTTCCTAACACTCTTGTTCCTAGCACATCTATTTCCTGGGGTTCAGAGAAATAGGGCTGAGGAATGTAGGTGAGCTAGAGTGGAGGGATGCAGATGGGGGTCGAGAGGTGGATGGATGCACAGTGGTCATGCCCTAAACCAGAGGCACACACTGAGCTCCCAAGGTCCCAGGGAGAGCAGGAGGGACTTCAAGCATTTTGCAAAGGAATGCTTTTGATTTTTTTTAATGATAATGCTAATTAGAAAACAGTGTGTACACTTCACTAATGTAATCAATGCAGTTACCCCTGAAATCACCAACATTTAAAGCTCTTAGACCATCTGCTGGATATTTTCCAATTTCTGTTTTGCATTCACTCTCCACTAGCTCTTTGACCTGGAAACTTTTCATGGGAAGCCCTGGGAGTAGAGGAGGTGGTGGGGGTGGGGGTATTATTTACTTTCCTTACTCTTTCCCTGCAAGCTGGCTCGGTCTCACTGCCCAAGTCATAGCTTCTCCAGGGAGGCTCTTTCCACACATTTCCTTCTGGTGGAATTCTAGTAACTGCCCCCCCCCACCAGTATTTTAAGTCCCCTCCTACTCAATCCCCAGACACCCTGCCACCCTTTTAAAAAGAGTCTTTACTAAAAACTTTTTGAAATATCCTAAATTGTGTGAGCTGTTTATTTGCTGCTGCGACTCTACCGCTACAGACGTTTTTACACTTACTATGTATTGTTTCAGTGCACACCATTTAGTCTTTCCTTTAGTTTGCTGATATTCCTTAAAAGAGTTTGGTTGTAGCTAAACTCCTTCATCAGATATCCATCATTATTAGCAGGCCTTTATCTTTACACTTCGGTTGCTGGGGGCCACAGGTAAGTTGCTCACCAGGGACATAGACTGAAAACAAAAACGCAGTCTCTTCTGAGGTGGGTTGGTGAAAACTGGGTAAATAGGCTGAATCTCTTCAAGGGAAGCAATTGGCCGATGTGGTTCAAGTGAAATAAATGGTTATCATGTCTCAGGTGAAGCAAATGGCCACCAGAATGGCTTCTTCCAAAAAAAAAAAAAAGGCAGTTCCCAGGTTATACAAGGTATGGACTTGTCTCAGTAGGATTGTACCTTTCAGGAAGACATTTGGCCCTATGTATTTCAGCTATTTAAGGGCTGTACAAGCACAGAGGTTTAGTTCTCTAGTAATTATTCCAACAGCAATTCACCAAATAAAATAGCTGAGCTTCAGGTAAGTGTCAGGATCCACAGGCTTTGCCCCTAAGTAATTCAAGCTATGGCAGGTAGCAAGACGACTGGATTCCCTACTGCTTGGTCCTCACCTTCTAAATTTCCCTGCAAAATTTAAAATTGCAAAATTTCTTGTGATTAGGCTGCCGTTTTTTAGAACCATTAAATTTTGGTAATTTTAAATGAATAGTTGTTATGATTATATATACTGTTTATGTGTAAAATAATCTGCCAAATTTTTTAGGATAAAAGTAAAATATTTTTAAAGAATATTCTATGAAATAGGCTGCATTTTTTAAGCCACTTCTATGACTTTACATTCTAATTTTTTAGGCGATCCTCTTGCTTAGAAAAACACATCTCCACAACTGACAATAATAAAAGGTTATATGAGTAGACACACCTGTAGTTTCTAAAAGACTATTTTTATTCCCCAAGAAAACAATTTTTAAAAGTGTATACTTGACCCACTTCAATCAGTTATTTTCAAAAGCCTTGACATAATATGCTTTGAGAATATCATTCTTTTAAGTCTCAGTTGCGTTTATCAATTCTAGCTCCATATGATTCTCAGAGGGACTGGATTTTAATCACAGATACAGCCTTAGTTATTACAGGAAACTTCGGAAATTAGTAGACTCTTAGGAAGTACTTAACAGAAACATAAATTCTCTGACCTCAGAGATTCTGAAAACTATTGAAAAAATGACTTCTTGTCACCTCTCCCAGGTTGACCGAGATGCAAAGGATTACTCAAAGCCCATTTCTTCTGAGCAGTGAGATGCCCCAAAGGGGTTAATTTCCAGGAACCCTCAAGAGAGAGGCATTCCTCCTCAGAAAATAACACCAGAAAATAACACTGAACTAGGGTTCTCTTTCAGTATTTATTCTCCAGGCCATAAAGTTACAGAACAGGAACACAGGTGATTACAAAAAACCAGTAAGATAATTGTCATGGCAACAATCATTAGGTTTAGCTGCACAAAGGACATCTGCCCTTAGAGCCAGCAACTTTGCTGTATTACACTTCTTTATCTACAGCAGAGATTTTAGCCCAGGGAAAGTTTTCTGTCTTTTGCGAGCTTACCATTTCTATGTGTAATTCTAAAAAGTTAGGCCCTGTAAAATACATGTGCTTGATTAATGTTAGTACCCTTCACACTTCTTACTTAAGGCCCTAAAGTTTGGACATGGACACTAACTACACCTTAAAAATAAGCACATTTTAAAAATAAGCATGCCTTTGTTCTGAATTGAAATCAATGCAATTTATCAGTGTAAATTTTCAACAATTGGCAAATATTTAGCCAGGGCAGTAGATGATGTTTTTCACTTGGAGAAAAAAAGAGTCATTGACAGGACACATTAGATAATACTTTCATTGTCTATGAGAAAAGATAAATACTCTAGAATACTTGAGAGAATTCAGACGAAATTTTAGAAAAAAGGAGATAAGATTAGAGATAAGATTTCTTCTTACTGTTGCTTTTATTGTAAAAGTACCAGAAATTTCCGTGTACTTAAACACTAAAATATGTCATCACCTACTCAATTTTCCAGTTTCAAAAATCAGTGCCAAATCTCTTCCAACATAAACTGCCTTCCTACTCCTTCAGAACTGCAGGCCAAGAGTATAAAAATTGCAGAAATATACTGAGAGTTCATTATAAATTATAATAGAAATTCAACACAGTTGCCGAAAAGGAAAGCAGAGCTCATGTTCCCTGTTTTATTTTTCTATAACCACAGGACCTAATTTTTATTGCTTTAATATGATAATTATATGCATGATTGAAGTGATCATGTATTTTTTTCACTTACTCATTTAGTCAAAAAACATTTATGTGCAAAGCACTGTGAGCAATGCAGAGATTGATAAAATATGGTTCCCTACTGTTGAAGGTCCTTTTAGTTACACAAAGGAGATGCATCAGGCATGTAAATAAGTGTGAGCTGGAAGAAAGTAAGTGATCCATTTGAGACACATCATGTTTCTCTAACTTGAGTGTGCATAATCATCACCCAGGGGACTCATTTACAAATGCAGATTCTTGGGCACAGCTCCTTCAGCAAGCCAGAGATAGGGCCCAGGAATCTTCATTGTTAATAACTGCTCTTAAAAGAAATTCTGATGCCTGCAGTCAAGGATGGCCATGTGAGAGCTGGAATCAGAGAAGAGGAAGGTAATATGGACAACTGGGGAACAGGCATGAAGGAAGCTGCATTTGAAATGGAATCTCAAGGGCTGGTGAGATGTGAACGATTGAGATTGAAGACATGGCCCAGAGAGGAAGGGGGTCTGGCAATATGTACGAGAGAGGGAATCGGGTAAACAAAGGCAATGCTGTGCATTTTCATTTCTTTTATCTTTTCTTATTAATTAGATGTTCCGGATCCACCAGAAAGCCTTCACTTGTCTGAAAGACAGAACAGGAGTGTTCGGCTAAGCTGGGAAGCTGGAGATGACCACAATAGCAATATTAACGGTAGGAAGACTTGGGAGAACTATTTTTCTTGCTTACCCTACTGAATCAAAATTAATATTAAAAGCATTTGTAACCACCTTTGATGGATATCCTTTTAAACTTTTAATACTATATATGAATCTTAGTATAACATAAGCATACGCAATACATTCTAATATTTTTTCCCATTTTCCTACTGCCAGAGTATATCATTGAATTTGAAGGAAATAAAGAGGAACCTGGAAGGTGGGAGGAACTGACTAGAGTCCAAGGAAAGGAAACAACCCTTGTGTTACATTTGGCTCCATATGTGAGATACCAGTTTAGGGTCATAGCCGTGAATGAGGTGGGGAGAAGTCAACCCAGCCAGCCGTCGGACCACCATGAAACACCACCAGCAGGTATGCAGCTTCTCACATCAGGTTTCTAACAACATATTTTAGTTTTGTCCCATCTTTAAACATTAAAGAAAAAAAAAAGAAAAGAAAAAGATGAATGGAGTGGTGTAGGATTTTAGATATTTCCAAATAGCTTGAACAGTTCTGTAAACTAAACAGCACCCCAAATATTCAAAGTACACCAGTCTCATAAGTATTACACAAGTGTTTGATAGACAGCGGGAAATTAGGGGATGGTATGTTAGAAAATGTTACTCTTATTTCTTATAGCTAAATATATTTAAATAAGACATTGTTAAGTATTTTCTAAATTAAAGTTCAATATATAGGAAAGTCAAGGATTCAACTTTCTGAAATGAAACTTTTGACTCACTATAGGCATTTTGTTAAATTTTCAGTGTATCTGACATCATCAATTTTTATGCATTTAGTGTATTTTTTTGTATCTCCATGTCTATTTAAATTCTCAAGATGTGTGTTTGGTTTTTTTTTTTTTTTTTTTTCGTTTTTTTTTTTTTTTTTTTAATCTCAAGAATAACAGTGCTAAAATTTGTGTTACTGGACAATGTGGTCATAGCATAGTATTTTTTTTCCCCTAGGTGAAATAAATATTTTAGGATATAATTCTCTTTTTTTTTTTTTTTTTTTTCGGTTTTTTTTTTTTTTTTTTTTTAATCTCAAGAATAACAGTGCTAAAATTTGTGTTACTGGACAATGTGGTCATAGCATAGTATTTTTTTTCCCCTAGGTGAAATAAATATTTTAGGATATAATTCTCTTTTTGGATTTTGAAAAAGCAAGCCAAAGTAATAACTGGATCAGATACTTGTGTGATTTTAGTATATGTTGATCTTAGCACTAAACTCCCAACTTAGCTCTTTCTAATAAAAAGGATCCACTTGAATATATTTCATGATTACATTATGTGCTATTTTCTATCTGATGTTCCTAAAACCTGGTTGTTGATATTAATATATGATGTTTAATTTTATTCTCCTAGAGTCAAATATTTACAAATATACTTCTCACAACAAATCTAATTTTAAAAAGTAAAGCAGGTTTAAAATTAAAACATGTTTTTAAAAAGCAAGTTTAGAATTAGTTTAGAATTTTCAAAAGGCAGGCTTAAAACTTTACAAAGCAAATTTAAAATTAAGACATGCTTGTATATAGTAAACCATCTACTCTCTATTTGATAATAATAATATCACTCCAAGAATACTATTTTATTCCTTTAAATAGAATATATATTTAAAAGCTGTCTTAAATCCTCTTAGGAATTGGGCCAGGTAGAAATTAATAAATATAATCATAGTTATTTAAATATCTGGGTTTGGAGGGGGAGGCAGGGGTGATATGATGATTTACCCATGGGTTACCATACAATGGGAAAAATAATGTTAATGCTTGTAATTTTTCAGCTCCGGACAAGAATCCACAACACATAAGGGTTCAAGCCTCTCAGCCTAAGGAGATGATTATAAAATGGGAGGTTTGTATTCCTTAATGTGTTTTGTATTTCTTTGCGCTCTTTTTTCTTTCTCTTAGGTCTGCATGCTAAGTAGAATGATAGGACAGTATTTTTTAAGAACAAAGAGATAAAGTTCAGTGATGAAATGAATTTGTGAGTCATCATCATTGTATATTTTAAAGATCATTGTGATTACAGTGATACATTGTAAAATACGTTAACACCAGTAAACAATTTAAGGAAGACTGTACGGGTTGATTTCTTTGGAAAAGATTACCAAAAGTTTCAGACTTCTATTATTTTTATTACCTATTTTCTAGATTATCTCTCATTTTAAAAGTACTGAAAACCTTTTACTAAATTTAGTATATGGTCTAAGTTTTATGTGTGTTAAAAAGATGACCTCCCCTCCCCCAATAATAGTTTCCATTTATGAAGTATCATTAGTCACTCTGTATACTCATTTCTAATTCTGAGAACAACCTGTCAAGAAAGCATCATTAACACCTTGTTCTAGATATAGATAAGACATCCAGGGTGATGAATGTCTTGCCTATCACCACACAAATAGAAATTAATCAAGCTATGATTTAAACATGGAACCCACTTTTCCCTCTTTACATATCTCTGCTAAATGTTATTAAATAGACTTTATTCTTTGAATTTGGCATAAAAATTTATGTCTGCTAAGATAGCTTTAATTTTTCTAGTGTTATTTCCAAGTTTCTTCCGTAACAGTGGAGAACTTTATTTTCTTTCTACTATGTGGACATATTTTATGAACAAGTATATGTAGACAAATTTATGTCTGCTAAGATAGCTTTAATTTTTCTAGTGTTATTTCCAAGTTTCTTCCGTAATAGTGGAGAACTTTATTTTCTTTCTACTATGTGGACATATTTTATGAACAAGTATATGTAGATTACCATTCAAGCATTCTAATTAATAGTAAGCCTCTGACATTGAATTCATTGAGTTTTGTGAAAACAGAACACTTTTTAATATATGATGAGAAATTTTAATTTATTTCCACACCTTATGCTAGGTATGGTTCTTGGAAGAATTTTAAAGTTTATAAAGTCTGGTTTGCTTTTTTTCCCCTCATATATTGATCTTTGTAACTCATTACATAATCACACAGCTCATACCTGTAAAATATTTAGACAATCTTTTTTATATCAACACTAACCCTTTATTTTCATTTTAGTAAAATTAAGTTTTGCAAATTTAAGATGTCGAAAATTTGAAAAAAAAAATTGATAATACACAAAAACTAAATATATCCAAGAATATTATTCTTTCCTTGAATTTGTGGCCACAAATAGTTACTACCACATTGTCTTGATAATTACTTAATTTACAGTTTGAAATTGTTAGTCTTTTATTATTTGAAAGTATACCTGTCTTATACTCCTTTAAATTTCATAGAAGTTTCAGTAAGGTAGATGATATAACTGATTGGATATCACCTATTAATATTATGTAGTTTGCAGGTCAGTTTCTCAGGGAAGCACACATGTTCCCATAGTGTTAGCTCATTAAACCTCACCACTCCTCTAGGGGGCTGCAGTAGCTCAGGGGTGTCAGCCTATGTTTCATATGCAGAAGCTGGGATTCCCAGAGTTTAATAACCTCACCCGGATGCCGTGTGCTGAATCACACTGAAAAGAGGGCAGAAAACTTGAGCCTTCCTTACTGCTCCTCTTACTCCTAAGTTACCTTTTTTTCCCCAAAAGATACAAAAGACTGATTACTAATGCTCTCTTCTTGTAAGAATAAGACTAAGCCAAGAAAGTGTTTCTAATTTGTCTTTGAAGAGCAAATGACATGTAATTCAGCAATTAATTGACTAAAGAGGAAGGATGTAGTCACACAGATTTGGATCTAAATTGTTACATTCGTATGTTCATCATGTTTCATATCATCTAGAAGTACTCCTATCAGATACCTTCACCAGCACAACCAGTGTCCTTTAAGAATATCCATTCATTGAGTGTTGTTTTCCTTGGATCATCCTGTGGAAGGGAGCTAGATGCCAGGTATTTCCCTAGTTGACAAGCAGATACTGTGAATCAATGACCAGACCCCCTCCAGAGACTTGACTCACAAAATAATTCCTGTCTACAAGATAATGATCAGAGAGACACAGCTTGTTTAACAAAAAAAAAAAATTGATCTTTCACAAAAGGATTAAAAATATAGATGAAAATAGGAGCAAACTGGATGTCCTTAATTTTTGTTTGTCTCTTTTGTTTTTCATTTAGCATTAAACAGGATTCATCTAAAATTAACACATTAAATTTTAACTTAATGGTAGAACTAGTCTTTAGCGTTATCTTCTAAAATTCACTTTTCATATGTTAATTGGGTCATGTCTCACTTATATACTTTAAGTGTTTAAACGTGATAATTTCCTATTTCTCAAAACAAAGGAAAAGAGCTCACTACAACCTAGTCAAGTAAATATTTGTATCAGGATGTTTTTTGCTTGATAGTTCCTATTCTCCTATAAATATACAGAAGTATATTTATGTGAATTTTTAACTTCTTTTAATCAAATAACAAATTTCTAATTTCAAAAACACCAACAAACAAATAAGCAAACAACCCCCAAACCCCACTGATGTTGGGAGGTAAAGACTGGTGCGGCCGGTCTCAAAAAAAAAAGGACAAAAATAAATAAATAATTAAATAAATAAATAAAAGTGTTCAAAAAATTTTTTAAAAATAAAATGGAATTAAGGCAGTATGACAATCTGTGCAGTTTCTAGATCAGTAGGGATAATCTTGCTTGGTTCGTAGATCTCTTTGACAATGTGTTAAAAGTACAGAATCTTTTTCTATGAAATTATACACAAAAAGTTTTGCTAATAATGTCATGGGCTTCTCAGATTCTTTGAAGGGCACCCCTGGACCTCATCTAGAGATTCCAAGATCCCAGGTTAAGAACCTCTTTTCTAGGGGCCGGCTCGTGGCTCACTCGGGAGAGTGCGGTGCTGATAACACCAAGGCCACGGGTTCGGATCCCATATAGGGATGGCCGGTTTGCTCACTGGGTTAGCGTGGTGCTGACAACACCAAGTCGAGGGTTAAGATCCCCTTACTGGTCATCTTTAAAAAAAAAAAAAAAAAAAAGAACCTCTTTTCTAGAGACCACTTCCTTGAGGGCAACTTTATGAGGGGAAGAGAAGGCCCCTGGACTTTTTGCTCTTGCTTCTGCCCTTTGCTCTTGCTTTGCTCTTGCTTCTGCCCTTGATCCTTGTCTTCTATCTTTGTTGGGAGGCTTATTTGAAAATTTTCTGAGGATTTGTTGGCCATTTTCTCAGAGCCAAATACAAAGTGTTCCTACTGTTTCTTTGGGAGCCCAGGCACCAAAGAGGCTGGTAGTAGTATAGTCAGCCCTTCATATCCGTGAATTCTGCATCCGTGGATTCAACCAACCTTGGATAGAAAATATCCAGGAAAAATATAGCATCTGTACTGAACATGTCATCATTTTCTAAATAATACAGTGTAACAACTATTTACTTAGCATTTACATTGTATTAGGTATTATATGTAATCTAGATATTATAAGTAAATCTAGATTTAAAGTTTATAGGAGGATGTGTATATGCAAATATTACACCATAAAATATCAGAGACTTCAGCATCTGTGAGTTTTGGTATCCATGGGAGGTCCTGGGACCAATCCCCCATGGATACTCCACGGAGGGATGACTGTATAGCTAAAGATTTTTCTTAAAAATTGTACAGTTTGTTTTAAGTTTACCAGAGACCTTTATTAAATTTAGTTGTTTTTCCTGGAGCAAAATGTGTAAATTGAACATTATTTGTATGCATTTATCGTCAGTAGGGCTGAAGTAAATTATAACTCCATATTGCAGTATGGAACTAAAAGCTTGTGGCTAATTTATCTGGACAATGCTAAAGCCTGAATGTGTAAATTGAACATTATTTGTATGCATTTATCGTCAGTAGGGCTGAAGTAAATTATAATTCCATATTGCAGTATGGAACTAAAAGCTTGTGGCTAATTTATCTGGACAATGCTAAAGCCTGTAGTGAATTTAAATTCTTATCATATTAAAAGGTGTCTTGAAGGAAGACTTTTCAATGAATGCAAGTGTAAACAATGGCTTTGGAAAATCTCATAAAGTTTTTGTTTTGATTTTCTTTCCTCACAGATAATTTAAGTATTTACCTTGGAATAAGCATAGACTTGAATGTAATTTGCTGATATAGCACTATGCTTTCAACTTAATTCAAATCAATGCCTCTAATAAGTATTTTAGTAAATTAGACTGAGTCAAGAAGCATTACAAATTCTGTAAGAACACTATATATGACATTATTGAATCACCCACATATGCAGACAAAATTACTGTTTATGTAAGTGAACCTTATAATCTTAAAATCACATTTTTAAATGTACCGTGTTTGATATAATGGATTCATTTAAATGCAAATTCCCATTTTTGTGAAATTAAACAGGTGGCTTAAATTACATTAATTTTTAAAAATTAAAGCATGACTCAATTAAAAACTAGAGTGGAAATAATCGAATTCCTATACTAAAAATTCCTCCACCAAATATTTTCATACAGCAAAATAAATGGGTGAAGAGAGATGCTATTGCTTCTGGGTACTAATTTATAAGCATGAGTATTCTTCAAAAATAAAAATGTACTTAAGTTTTCTCCTCCCATGGAAGAAAGACAGAGAAGGATGGTATCAGATGGAGGAAACAGTTCTGCCTAAAAGTCATGGGAGAATCCCATTCACAGCCAAAGAATTCACGGTCATGTCCTTTTTATTTCTGCCAATTCATTAGGAGTGAAAAGGTGGAAGATAGTGGAAAACAGAAGCCAAAGCTAAAATCTTCTGTGGAATTTCTTTGTAAATCCTTTCTTATAAGAAAACTTAGACTTAACCATAAGGGCATAATCCAGACATCTAAAGTGTGTGGGTCCCTTTACACAGGGAGATGGGGGACTAATTTTCAAATTTAAACTTACTGAATGACAAAAATATTCATAACTGTTTCTAAATGTAGGAGGGGGATTTACGATCTCTGAAGAAATGATATCTCTATAGCAGTGATTCATCACTGTCTCTGAGTCAACATATCTGTGATCATACCAAATGCGTCTTGCTTGTATTTTAGCCTTTGAAATCTATGGAGCAGAATGGGCCAGGACTGGAGTACAGAGTCTCCTGGAAGCCACAGGGAGCCCCAGTGGAGTGGGAAGAAGAAACAGTCACAAACCACACATTGCGGGTGATGACGCCTACTGTCTATGCTCCTTATGATGTCCAAGTCCAAGCTGTCAATCAACTCGGCTCTGGGCCTGAACCTCAGTCAGTGACTCTCTATTCTGGAGAAGACTGTAAGTGGTGCACCGGAAACTACTAAGCACTTCAATAAAAGTTACTCTAAGTATAGAGAAACTGGGTTATTCTAAGGACTATATGAGCAAATTCATAAAAGGCCCTTAGTAGAGAGCCTGACGTATAGCATAAGTTCAATTAATGTTAGCTGTTATTAATATTTGACTAACCACATTTCCAAGTAATTTTATTTATATAACTAGTGTAGTTCACTTGCTTCCAAAGGTAAGATGCCCAAAGGACATTTCAGTGGCTACTGTTTTAAGTTTCCAGTTATATTTGCCCAAATTGTATCCATCTGGAGAGCTTCATTTTTGTACAGGCTGTCCTCTTCTCCTAGGAATGTATTTGGGCTGAGAAACTTCTCTGTAATGAGAAATTATCTTGGTTACATTTGGGATTGATTTCATAAAAGTGCTTTCCCCAGATTAAACATTATGGAAATCACCTTTTGCAAAGTATCCTAATAATCATATTTGGAGGTTATTGAAAACTAATCAACCTTACTTGCTTAACAGATCCTGACACAGCTCCAGTGATCCATGGGGTGGACATTATAAACAGTACATTAGTTAAAGTTTCCTGGTCAACAATTCCAAAGGACAGAGTACATGGACATCTGAAAGGATATCAGGTTTTTATCATGTTTTCCCTTCTTGTTGTTGAATTAGTATCATGCCCGGGAATAAAAACTGATTTCAGAAAAAGCCAAAAGAGAATCTGCCACCATGGTTGATATGTTAAAGGGTTCATATTTTCATTGCAGATAAATTGGTGGAAAACAAAAAGTCTGTTGGATGGAAGAACACATCCCAAAGAAGTAAACACTCTAAGATTTTCAGGACAAAGAAACCATGGAATGGTTCCTTCCCTAGATGCCTTTAGTGAATTTCACTTAACAGTCTTAGCCTATAATTCCAAAGGAGCTGGTCCAGAAAGTGAGCCTTATACATTTCAAACACCAGAAGGAGGTGAGAGAATAACGTTTTGGAATGGTGACAATAATTGAAATTTTCCAATAGCCATGTTAGACATTGTCTACCTTGTTAGTAGTTAATGTATACTTTATATGAGTTAGCTTCTCAATTCCTATAAAAACTTGAAATCTAATGGGGCTTACTTTTAAGAAATTTACCAGTTTATGAGTGTTTATTCTTGGTCTTGTGTTTTCTAGTACCTGAACAGCCAACTTTTCTCAAGGTCATCAAAGTTGATAAAGACACTGCCACTTTATCCTGGGGACTACCTACAAAATTAAATGGAAACTTAACTGGCTATTTATTACAATACCAGATAAGTAAGTAGATAGAAATTTGAATTGGGGTTAACCTGTTAATATTTCATTTTTTGGCTGAGTCTTTGGTTTCCTTTATTAATAATATAATGATCACTTAAGGCCATGGTTTGTAGGCTTGTTTGTATATGTCCTTTGGGCACTGGACCAATCCAGCCTGCTGCTTGTTTTTATAAATAAAGTTTTGTTGAAATATAGCTATGTCCACTTATTTACATATTGCCTATAGCTGCTTTCTTACTAGAGTGGCAGAGTTGAGTGTTTGCAATGTAGGCTGCATGGTCTGCAGGGTCTAAAATATTTACAATCTAGCCCTTGACAGGAGGGTTTGCTGACCCCTGTTGTAAGAGAAAAGCAATGTGCCAGTGGATACCAAAAAAAGTGTGTTTAATATTTATATAGAAGAGGACTTGGGAATTAAAAAAGATGCCAAAGAGCAGAGTTAGTAAGTGTTGTAATGGAGATTTAAAGCACATGTAACTTCTACACTATGCTCCCTCTTGTGCCTCAGCTAAATGCTGCCAGTCTCACCCCTAAATACACTTATGTTTGTAGAATACTTTACCGGTAGCCTGCTGGTTTAGGTAGGTAGTATTGAGAGGACTAAAAAGTTGTCTTTGGACCATTATTCAGAACAGGCTCTACCCACATGCTGCTGTGCCATTATATTGAAAAAAGAATGTTTAAACAAAATCAGGTCATGTTTAATCATAGCCATCTCCCACCTCTAACAGTCTTCAAATCTAAGCATTATCTCAAAATGGAAATTGGAGGACTGAAATCATAGAAAATTTTAGCAGCCCTCCTACCACGAAAATTTTAGATTTTGAGAACATGAATTTTTAAAAAGTCTAACAGTCTTCAAATCTAAGCATTATCTCAAAATGGAAATTGGAGGACTGAAATCATAGACAATTTTAGCAGCCCTCCTACCACGAAAATTTTAGATTTTGAGAACATGAATTTTTAAAAACTCAAAATTTCAGTGCTTGTTATGTGGCAGGATCAGTACTAAGTACTCTCACTGCATTACTTCATTCAATAAGAAATCTTTGAGTTATGTACGGTCACTATTGTGTGCATGAGGGAATTGAGGCATTTGGTGTGCACTTGCCAAGGGTCATACAGTATGATAAGTGTTAAAGTAAGAAGGCAAACCCAAGTTGATCTAATTCTGGATGCTTAGTTCTTAGCCTAAACTGTTCCATAAGCCAGTTTTCAAAAATGCAGAAAAAATTGATGAAATATTTGATGATTTTTAAAACTTTCTTTGGCGAAGATATGCCTTATCCTTATCCTAACAATTAAAAACTCAATATTAATTAAATTCTAGCCTTCATATTGATTTGTATGTAAGATTGAAATTTAATTTAAAAACAGGTTCTTAGACGATAGAGAGAAGGTGAAATATTAACAATTATAATGATTATTATACTGTTTAATATGTGGATTTTTTATAGAATGATTAAATTTATGTTGTTATTTTGCTGTCTATTAATATTAAGTAATTAAGACATTTTAAGGTAGTTTACCTTTTTTGTTATTGCTATTATATGTTCAAAATAGTTGCTGTTTGTATATATGAGAGCCCTATATATACTTCCCTGAATTTTTATATTGATTGTGGTAGTTTTTCAGTTGATGTTGTGGCATTTTACAATTGTGCTGTCAAATAATTTGTAAGTAGTGATGATCTTACTTCCTTATTTCCAATGTTTGATTCCCTAGTTTGTTCGTTTGCTTTTTCTTTCTTCTCATTGATCTAATTGCACTGTATAGACCAAGGAAGGAATTTTTCTGTTAACCATAAATATACCTGTGTGATATCGTGGCCTGAGAGTCAAGAGCAATTATAGTCCTTTTGTTGCCATTAACAGCTGCACTATCTTGGACAACTGATTTAATCTCTTGGACTGTTCTTATAGTCATCTTTTAATACTCTGTGCTGTAACAACACAAATCTCATATCCTTGCTAGATTCCAAATTTGTTAAAAGAAATTTTCTGATTCATCTTTTTATCCATTGGCACTTTGCATAGTGCTTAGCACACTAGATATTTAAAAATAATTTATTGATTGATCGATTGATTCTACTTATATAGTGCCACATATTAAACAAGAAAACATAGAAGGCAAAAATAAAACATTATCCAAATTACTTATCCAAAAGTAGATTAAAAGTACTTGAGTCAAGGATACAATGATAATATAATAATGGGGGGAAGTCCATCATTTTTAATACGTATTATGAAGGTGGTTGGTTCCAGTATGTCACAGTAGTTAAGAATTTGGTCTCTGGAGTCAAAAAAACACGGTTTGGATTCAAATCCTAGATTGCCAATTACTGGCTCTAGATCTGGGTAAGCTGTTTATTCTTCCCAGACCTCAATTTCCCCATGTATGAGATGGTCATAGTGATTGTACTACCTCATAGGATCAAGTGAGTTGATGGCTATAAATAATTAAGATAACTTCTTGCATAGCAAAGCACGGTAGAAGCAAAAATAAAGAACAATATATCTTGAATTAAGTACCACAGAATTTGAGGCATTTTTGTTCATGTTTATTTCTTTAGTAAATGACACCTATGAGATTGGAGAATTAAATGATATCAACATTACAACTCCATCAAAGCCCAGCTGGCGTCTCTCAAACCTCAGTGCAACTACCAAATACAAATTCTACTTGAGGGCTTGTACTTCAAAGGGCTGTGGAAAACCAGTCACTGAGGAGAGCTCCACATTAGGGGAAGGGAGTAAGTATCTGAAGCTTCTACATGCTGTTTCTTTTAAAAAATTGCTCTGAAAAGAATGTACCATGCTAGTCACTATAAATTAGAAATGATTGTGATCCAAATCCATCTGACCTTCTGTTTTTCCACATAGATACGGAATTTATTAATCTTATTTGTAAAGTTCACATTGACTGAATTTATGGATTTCTGCACAACAGCAACCAAACCAATGCTTAGTGTATACAAGGTCAGAAACTATAATTTGACTTAATTAAAATAGGGGAACATAAGGTCATAAAGTTATTCACGAGGTCAGTAGAGGGATATTTTTTCTTTTGGAAATGTTTCCATACTGAAAAATATTTTTCTCTTGCATTGGTAGACATTTCACAACACAGATCTAATTCATTTCACTTCCATGCCTTGACTCATGTATACATTGATTCATATGTCAGTTTCATTTATTGTCTGGTGGTTGATGCCAAATAACTGGCTTAAAAATGTCTCATAAATCTATGGTTTCACTTGTGGTACAATCCTCCTAATTTAATTACTCTTTTCTATTTTTTTTTTTCTTCCTCATAACCATTTCCCTTCCCAAGTTATTTCTCCAATTATAAGCATAGCAGTGTTCTTGCTAAGGCTGTCCATGACATCAATAGGGCATCAGCAGAGAAATAGGAGGATAGAGTAATAAAGAGAAATGGATCAGAGGAACTGATGTACACACTGATAAGTTAAAAAAGAGGGACTTGTGTGGGGTTCAGTCTGGTCAGGCATGGAAGTTTATTTGGGGAAGAGAAGGAGGGAATGGGAAATGACAGGAAGGGAAATAGAATTATATACCATGTAGAACGTGTCATACTCTGTTCTGAATGCTTCTCCAAACTGTAGATTAGAAAAGTGGTAGAAATTAATGCAAGAGATACCAGGAAGAGGAGAAAAAAGTAAAGAGGAAAATTAATTGTCTGTCACTTATTAAAGAAATTATGTTAAAATACATTCAAATTTGTGAATCACTGTAAATCAAGGTGTTTGTGTATGATTGGTTATCCTCTGACCTTTATTGTCAGGGGTTTTTCCCTCTTATTGTTCCCAATGTATCTAAATAATAAAGGGCTTATGTTTTTCTCAGACTCCTTAAATACTTAAAATCCCTTACGTAGAAAAAGTATATATGTATTCAAATAATTTCTCCCAAAAAACTCACAGATTATAGGATGAATTGAACACAAATGAAATGAAGAACTCATTTATCTTCTCATAAAAATTAGATTTAGATGGTGATTGAAAACTTCCTAGTAACTAAAAGTATTTTATTTCTCAAGTGTTCAAGCTGGCATCAAGTGTTCAATATGAAGAAGTCAGGATAGCAGTCAAGTAAATACACAACTTCTGTATTTTTAAAAACAGAGTTTATGGGGCCGGCCCGGTGGCGCACTGCTACAGTGCGCTGCGTGGGAGCGCGGTGGCGCTCCCGCCGAGGGTTCGGATCCCACATACAGACCGGCCGCTCACTGGCTGAGCGAGGTGCGGGAGCAACACCGAGGGTTGCGATCCCGTTGCTGGTCCCGGTCCGGTACGGGCGCGACACTGAGGGTTGCGATCCGTTGCCGGTCACGAAGAAAGACAAAAAGACCAAAAACAAAAAAAAAACAAAAAAACAGAGTTTAAAGCACTGATGTAGTTGATATTTTGATAGAACCAAGACTACCATATGCGTGAAGAATGCTAATCCCATTCTTGCTAGTTTTGTAGCATGTAACAATATCCACAAATTGCCTTACAAGTATCACACATTCTAGTATATATCTTGGAAAGTTTGGTCTTGGTTGGATTAAGTTTATCAAGTTGTTTTTTGGAGAATGGAAATGCTATTTGCATGATTTTATAACTGATGCCACATCTTTTCTAAAAACTGATATGGATTAATGTGGTTGAGTGTCTTAAAGCAGATTTCTTCACTGTCTTGTGTGTCAGTAATTTAAAAATGTTCCTTACTAGTGTTTGTGCTCTTTTTCAGGAATCTGCATTTTCAGTATTCCAGCTACTGTCCCTTCCCCAGTTGACACTGATTTCTCTTCTATAGACATGTCTTGCCAAATTTACAGGAAAAAATTGTAACCTCTTTTCCCACTGCATTTCAACACGATCTTTGAAATATATATATATATATCCATTGAGGAGATACATCTTTATATCACTATAAACTCTAAAATTGATGAATTTTTTGCACATCGGAATCTACTACTGTGTGTCTTGTTCTGCCTAGATAGCCCATTTTAAGGTTATTTGGCATTTATTCAGAGAATGAGATTTGATCAATAAGCATTTTTTTCTTCTTGTTTTTTGGTTGTCATTCCAATTTTCAAATGGATCACATTTCATAATCTAAAAGGAGGAAAATGGAGTTAATCAGAAATATTCTTTTTTTGTCATTAGTGATTTGAATAAATCACTTCTTTGCCCTATTTTTCAAAAGCTTGCACTACTTAATGTTATACTAATATTTCTGTTTTTCAAGGTCAAAATTAATTGCATTCTGTTTCAATGGTGCTCAATCTCAAAGGCTTTGCTCAGCTATATAACTCACCTTATTTCTCCCGCGGTGCCATTTTTTCATGAAGTCCTTTTGTTAATCAGTAACTATATAATCATTTTTTACTTTATGGTGAAAAGTTATAACTAAATATTAGTGTGTAACAAACATATACTCACTTAAAACAAAGTTTTATAACCCCTAGTATTCTCAGTAAGGAACATGTTTTATTTTACATATAATTGGCTAATATTTTCTGGTTGACATTTACTATTTTGAGTCGACTCCTAGCATTTGGATTGAATGCAAAAATATTTTAGATATTTAGTTGTAAGGTCAAAAATTAATGTATATTTTAATTAAATTTCACTTTATTTGCTACTCTGAGATTTATTAACATATTGACTTATTGATATTTCTTTTTTGAAAATTGTTAATTCTCATACCACATTCAAAATGTCAGTGAAATTATTCCACTTAAATTAACCTGTAAACCTGCACTTTATGCAGCTTGAATTTCCACAAATTTCAAATTTTCAGTATATGACTTATTATGATGCTATTTTATCAGTATTTATGGAGAAGAACAAGGAAAAAATTAGTATATAGTTAGTTAAGATCATAATATTATATGATGTCAATTATAAACCAAAAAGACCATACTCAACTTCCTGCTAGGTTGTGAAAATCCAAATTACACAACATTATATATATGATTTTTTAAAGTCTTTGTTTGGTTTTGAACCATTCATGTGAGCAGACGGATGTATAGTACCATTTTATTAACAAATCCATCACCTTGAGTGGCCACGAATTGAATTCATTTTATTTACTCAATTTCAGTATATGAAAAAAGTCTTAAAGTGTTGTTTTTCTTCATCTTCTGATAATTCAAAAACTATCTCAGAAAAAAAATGGTACAAGTAGCTTTCTTATTCATCTCAAATAACGATAGTTTTTTTTTTTCTTTGAAAAACTATCTCAGAAAAAAAATGGTACAAGTAGCTTTCTTATTCATCTCAAATAACGATAGATTTTTTTTTTTTCTTTGTTCTTTTACCTTTTATATCCTGCTTTTCAATGATTACAATTCATATGATTTAACTGTGTACATTTCTTAGGTAAAGATATCGGGAAGATATCAGAAGAAGTAAATCTTACTCAAAAGATTCACCCAATAGAGGTATTTGAGCATGGAGCTGAACATATCGTTCGCCTAATGACTAAGAATTGGGGTGATAACGATAGCATTTTTCAAGATGTAATTGAGACAAGAGGGAGAGGTGAGAAATGAGATTATACCTGGGGCAGTCTTAGACAGTAAGTGTGTCCCATAGATTATTTAATTTTACGTATATCCTATATGATAGATAAAGAACATGGAGTACCTTAGCTATCAAAATCAGAATTTCAATTTGTTTGGGCATAGCATTTTAAAATTATCAAAATGAAAAATGTTCCACCATAGTCCAACTTATCCTTTTATTGCGTTTACCAGAGTAGTTGTCTGAAAACATCTCCTGCTAATTAACACGTGTTAATGACAAAGACTAAAAAGAAAAGAAAAACAATACAGCAGCAGAGGCTCCATGGTAATCTGCTTAACACACCAGGGCAGCTCCTGCTTATGCTTGCTTCCTGCTGCTTTTCTATTTAACTTTGTCTGCCTGCACTGTCCTTCCTTGGTTTTCATCCTCAGAATCAAATGCCACTTGAAGAATGCCCTTTCTAAATCAAGAAGTAATAATTTATCAGTACCCACCTCCCCCTCTCTCCCATGAAAGGTCCTTCAAATCACATTCTCTCTTGGGCCATTCAATGGAAAAATAAAATTGATGCTGTTTTGTATGTTCAAAAATAATGTCTGATTTTCCCAAAAGTTACATAACACCAAAGACTATATTCAATGTTCTGACTTCTTTTTATGTGACAGAATATGCTGGTTTATATGACGACATCTCCACTCAAGGCTGGTTCATTGGACTGATGTGTGCGGTTGCTCTTCTCACACTCATGTTGTTGACTGTTTGCTTTGTGAAGAGGAACAGAGGTGGAAAGTATTCAGGTACACTGTCTTTTAATGTGATTTTCAAGTTATTAAATGTATTTTCTAGGAGGCACTTTTCAGAGACATCTTTTATTTTATTTTTTTAATTACTCATTTATGTCAAATTTATATTAGTAAATTAAACCTACAATATACTGAGAGGGTTACAAGATTAACTAACCAAAGGGAATATGTATAGTCTATAATATTATCTCTAGGGATTTACTTGTTTTCTCTTTTCTGGTACTTAAAATAGGTTCTCACAAGGCTTATTGTATTTCCAAGCTGTTATTTTCTATTTGTAAAATATCAGAGATATTGAGGAGACATATTGCTAAGTCACACATATATTTTAATGTCAGAGGAAAGGGCTCATCTACAGCATGCCTGTATACATATACACGACTCAGATGTTTTGCACTAGTGCATTCTAATACTCTTAGCTCCATTTGTCAACTTTGTTAACCATTATTGGGAATGCATTTCTTATTATCATGACATATTGAACAGAGTGCTTCTTGAATTAATGGTACATAAAATATAGGCCGGCCCGGTGGCGCACTGCTATAGTGCGCCACTTGGGAAGCATGGCGGCGCTCTCGCCGAGGGTTCGGATCCCACATACAGACCAGCCGCTCACTGGCTGAGCGAGGGGCGGGGGCAACACCAAGGGTTGCGATCCCGTGGCCGGTCCCGGTCTAGTACGGGCACAACACTGAGGGTTGCGATCCATTGCCGGTCACGAAAAAAGACAAAAAGAAAAAAAAAAAAAATAACAGCCTTGTTAGGGCTGGCCCGGTGGCGCACTGCTATAGTGCGCCACTTGGGAAGCATGGCGGCGCTCTCGCCGAGGGTTCGGATCCCACATACAGACCGGTTCCCGCTCACTGGCTGAGCGAGGG